AATAAACAGTTGTTTTTTTTTCTTTTCTTTTTTTGCTGTTTTTAAAGTTGTTGTTGTTGTTAAACTAATTTTTCATCTGATTAGATTAAAAACCAGGAAAAAAGAAGTTGCTAAAAAAAAAAAAAAGATTAGCTTCTCAATCGGCATACGTCACTTGACTAATGATAGCAGCCTTTCAATTTCAAATTGAAAAAGCTGCCCTGTTTGTATTGCACCAAAAAAAGCAAAACATCTAATTCGCTCTTTCCGGTTTATCCAAAAAGATTACTGTTGATTAGTGGAGAACACAGCTTGTATTAATGTAATTTTTTATTTGTAAAAATCTTATTTTTTCATTGACTAATTATTTAATTCGATATTTGTAGCTTTTTGAGTGACAACAAATTGTGCTATTATTAATCTAAAAAAGAAACTTTCCAGATAGTTGAAAAAAAAATTTTTTTTTAATCAAATTTATATTAGTAAATCATTTTTTTTTTTGCGGTGGTGGTGAAGGTAGTGGTAGAAAAATATTTGGATTAACAGAAATGAGCATTTGTTGTTGATACTGTTGTTGTTGGTAATGTTATTGTTGGATTGAATGTCATCGTTTGTTGTTGATACGGGGGCCATTGCGATACTGATGAAACTGCTGCTGCTGCTGCCGCTGCCGCCGCTGCCGCTGGTCTCCGGAGAGATTTTCAACAAAGATTACGCACATCTGCACCGATTACGGTAACTCTGTTCCCTAACATAACAGCACCAAATTATCTCGCTTTTTTTTTTTCCCTTATTTCTGTCTCGTTTTCAACTTTATATTTTTCAATTCACTTTATTACGTCTAATCTACACATTTATATATACAGAAATAGGAATGTAATACACACACACACACAAAAAAAAAAAAATTTTTTTTTGTTTTTCTAATTACTAACATTTCATCTCTTCTTTGTTACTATATTACTAATGTTTAGAAACAAAAACTTATAGAAGTCATAAGTAGGGGTAAAAATTTAAGTAAATACATAACTGTAATTAACAGTGTTTTGTTTGTTTTGTTTTACCGTATCAATAAGTTATTAATCAGTGTTGTACAAACTGTCGTACAACGATATAAAGACAATGAAATGTATCTTTAAAAAAAAGAAGTGAACAAAAAATACAGCAAAATTTCTATAAGAACATAACACTTTTTTCCCGTTGTAACATTTACCAATTATACTTGAAAGAATAAAGCCGAAAAAGGTAACAAAGAAATTGTCATCTTCTTAAACTTTTTTTACATCGGTTAATCAACAAAATTTCGTTATTTCATTTTCCAACAAAAAAGTAGTTTCTTTTTTAAATTTTTTTTACACAAAAAGAAAAATTCAGTCAAAGAGAGAAAAAGTGGAAAAAAAAACCAGTAATATTTTTACACTAATAATTGGAAAGATGTAAACAAAAAAAAAAGTGAATTTTTTTCTTTACTTTTAGATTACAAGAATTATTTGCAGTTAATAGTACTGCCAATAAATAGTTCATAACAAAAAAAAAATGAAGAAAAAAAGGAAATCTGTAACGATAACGGAAATAAAGTAGTTACAAAATGTTCAAAACGGGGCTTCTGCGGCAGCGCTGCATTACGACGTTACAGTAATCGCAGCGGTCTAACGCGCAGAAACAATTGCGCTGCAGTCACTTTTCCCTGCAGGAAACCAGCGGACAGCAGTCTTCCTGCATTTCACTTTACTGTAATAGTGCTTCGATCGGTTGTTAGACCGATGAAAAAAATTCTCAAAACTATATAATGAAAGATAATATCCGTATACAATAGCAAACTGTAATGATACGGATCATTTTTTCTGTTTGAGATGATTGGAAAAGGCAAATGAAATAGTGGATGGATGATAATAGTAGTGGTGCCATGCAAAGCAATGCTGCTGGCCATTTGGATATGTTGCTCACACAATCAATTATTTGCCGCTTACTGGACAACGCTGCTACATCGGAGATTAAATTAAATAATTTGACTAGAAAAAAAAATAAAAAATAAAAACGTTGAAATAAATAGAACAAAGAATTTTCTTCCTCAAACCTCATCGCTGTGATGACGATAACGACGGCAACAAACATTATGCATGTTATGCGTGCGTGTCGCAGTGTTCGTTTAATTGTGATTGGGTGTATAGATCTGTACCCGTTTTGTTCAATCAATTTTATATAAACATTATTATCATTGTTGGCCTACAGCAGATAAATATGAAATTTTTAAAGCATACTTAGCCTATAAATAAGAGGAAAAGAAACATTGAAAAGCTACTTTAAAAAAAAAAACAATTTTTTTTTTTGAAGTAAACAACTTTATCTATCTGACTTCTAGAAGCCAAAAAATTGGTCTTTTCCTTTTCTCCAATTAATCTGAAGTATTAATGCAGCTAATAAAATGTGATAAATTTTCTTTATTTTCTTGATGCTTTTTCTTTTTAAAAACTACTGTTTGTACGTAACTGTTTCTTCTCTGGGTAAAGAGGTGTTGCGCTAAACAGATTCTAGTCAACTGCAATTTCTAAAACATAGTCTTCAACCAGGGGGAAAAAAGAGGAAGGAAGATTGTTGTACAACAGTTAAGTAAACGGCAATTTTTTTTTTCTTGGTTTTACATTGAAACGTTGTTTGAACAAACTGAGTCAACGTAAAATATCTAAGCTGCTAAAATTAGACTGAAAGAATTCTTTTGCAAACCACTGAGTGATAAAAGTTGGCAAAAAAAAGAAGGAAAAAAAACGTGCTCATTATCAGACGTTACATTTACAACCTGCGTCACCAACGGTATTTTGGTTAAAATAAACTTTACATTTGAATTACACATTGATAAACGATAACAGTTACAAATTTTCCTGTAATGCAAAAAGGTGAAATCTTTAAAAGTTAACATTTTTGTTTTTCCTAACTTTTTAAATGATAAGTTCAAAAAGAAAAAAAAAACAAGCAAGTATTTTTTTTTGTTTAGAAAAATTAGATAATAAATTAGTTAGAAAGAAGTTCCTACTAGACAAATATAAAAAGTAAAAAAAGAAACATCATCACTACCACCAATTGATTCAAATACATTTTTTATAAACATATTATAGACAAAAATTTATTTGTAGATGAAGCAAAGGAAAAGCTGCACATCTATACACACACATTAAAAAGAATTTTATTGATTCTGTTGAAAAGTTGAAAAAAGAGGTTTTTATTTGCTTATAACTTAGATACAAGAAAAAAAAACACTTTTTCTTGTGGTAAAGTAACTTCTACTAAAGCAGAAAAAATGTTTTGTAAAAAAATAATACTTTCTGATTTAAAATCTCAAAACAAAAAAAAATTTTTTGAAAAGATGCAGAACTGACTAAGTGTGACCCAGAATACAATGAAATTTTTTAGGGCTTTTCATCTTTAGTTTGACACTTAAATCTCAGACTTTGTAATACAAAAGTTTTGTGATAGACAGATCAGAATTTTTTACGGTCATTCTGTCAAAGATTACAATGGGGCATAAACAAAACGAGCTTTATTTGAATATATCAGCTGATTATCACATAAAGTTTAATTCAAACCTTCAGCCTTAGACATTTCATTAACTGCAAGTCGTTTAGCAGCCCAATTAGTTCACTCTTTTCTTGCCCTCTAAATTTGAGAATTAAATTCGATAGCTGTTTGCATGTAATTTTGTCAGCTTCTCCTCTTGTAAACTACTGCAACTATGATTTTTACTGCTACAGCCAAAAATATAAGAATAATGGTACTTGAGAATACCGTTACTCATTATTACTTTTACAAAATAAGGTCAGAAAAGAACTAAAATTCTGAATTTGAAACTTACTGAAAAGACGAAAAAAAAAAAAAAGGAAAAAAGTCTGTTTCTTTCTCGTTTGTCTTTGGTCCCTCATACTAAAAATCTCATGTTTTTTTTTTACCTGTTAACACATACAAAACCCAAAAAGGAAAAGCTCAAACAAGTGTCGCAAAAGACTGATAATAAACTGTTTTCATCTTTTCCGCCGCATATGTCTTTCCAAGTTTTTTCTTAGGGTTTTTTTTAAAAGCAAAACTGCATAATACTTAAAGAAGGAAGAAAAAAAAATAAAAATAAAAAAAA